TGTTGGTTTACCATTGCCATCAGGACTAGTTTTATTTGTAAAGATCAATTTTATAAATATATTGCATGTATTTGTTTTTTTCATTTGTTTTTTACTGAACTCTCATAATAACTTTCTCTCTATATAATTATGGATTCGTGAAGTCACCATGTGTGGATTTGACAAGCAGCATGCCATCATACTGGGATTCTGAAATGGATAAATCAGATATGATACCAAACAAGTTAACCTACCCTTCCCTTGGTCCACCATGCCCCATGTCAATTGAATATCTTGAACGCGTCAAAATTCTATCTGAAAAAATTAAGCAAAAAAAGCCAAAGGTGGTTGGTCACCCTTCTTTTACCAAAATTCCAAGAATTAGACTTTACTGCGCAAATGAGGCCTTGGCCATTCCTTATGTCAGTCCAATGTTGGCAGAAAGTTTAGGAAATTTACCACCCATTTTATGTGTAAGTTATTCACTTTTGTTGTGTGTCCATATAATTTCATGAAATTTCAAAAATAAAAAATTGCTTCTAACATAAATAATTTTCTTTAAATGACAATAAATAGCAAGTAGGTGGCGGAGAAAGGTTTCGGGATTCTTTAGTTTTATTTGGTTTTAAAGCTTCTGACCCAAACAAATACCAATTGCCCAAATACGCTACGGAAAATTTTGATAATTCCCCATTCAAGAAACCCACACAGGTCACACTTGAGCTCTATGACGATGCTTGCCATTGCTTTTTCGTAAGTTTATTCGTTCTTAGGATTACTTGTGCATTTTTCTGATTAATTTATATTCTTACAATTTTATGATTACATAAATTTAGTTGTTTCCTTTTGAAAAAATTAGCCTTTTCTCGCAAAATAGAGCATTTGATTTCATTAAGCTTCATGCAGCCGTCGATGAAAATATTCCTGACGGATCAGAAAATAGCGCTACTTATGAAAATGATAAAACGATTAATGCGATCGCAATTAACCCTAACTGTGAAATTAGGGAGTTGGATGAGAAATATATGGATTGCTTAAAGTTTGAGAATATTGGAGTTTTGCCGGATGTGAATGAAGATGATTATGTTGATAATGTTTAGCTTTGTAATTTTTATTTATTTAAATAGTTGGAAAAGTGTATCATTTTAAAATTTTATGAAATAAATTTATATTGTTTTAATTACCTTTTATGTCTGTATTGTTTTAATTGTATCTATAAATGTTGCGTTCTGGATACAGAAGTATTCTAGAGTAAAGTTCCTTAAAAACTCATATTAATGGGTAAAAATTCGCGTTGACATATTTTATTAACAAGGTGCTAAGAATTTGAACCGGTTTTAAATTATTTGATCACAATTTAAACCGGGATAACCATCAAATTCACAAATATTTTATGTTACATTTTTGACAATTATATTAGAGTTTATAATTTTCCGGAACCGGACTGGGGTTCAAAGTACCGGCTCGGATTTTTTAATTCTGGAAAAAATTATTAAAATTAGACGTTTATTGAATTATCAATGTTTTTATTGTTGATAAATGTTGGTATATTAATTCGCTTTATTATTATTATTTTTTTTTTTTAAAAAAAAAAGGAAATTAAATGTCAAATTAACAGTTGTTTTAAATTTTAACAAGGAGAATTTAAATGTCAAGAATGACAAAGTGAAGTTTGTCCGAGATGGGTGTTATTTTGATTGCTTGGCTTAAAGTCCGGAGCCGGGCTTCAAAATTTGGACTAATGCAGACCTCTATTGGTTATATGTATTATTTAAGAGCAGTACTCTAATATATATTAAGATAATGTTGGAATTCGTCCTTAATTAGTGTGGCAATTTAGCATTCTTTTATTTTATTTTTTAATATTTACTATTTGGTTCTCGCTTCGGTTTTCAGCTATCTAACTAAAAAAAATTTATTCTTTTTTAATAATAGGAACCTCGTTCAGCTTGATCGCTTCAAATGTTGTCCTTTTTTTTAAAAAATTTCATATCGCAGTGATCAAATATTTTGTTTTCCACTCTTTTGATTTATCACTACGTATTTTCATAGTTCTTCTTTAGTTGGGTCACTTATGAAGGAATAGGTATTTTTTTTGATCAATTCATTATTATATTTTTTTTTGGTTTGAACGCGAACAAATTTATGTTTTCCTGATTTTTTTGATTATTTTTTTTGCTCTATAGAAAGCTTCACATGTCTGAAGGCATATGTTAGGTTTCAAGTTTTTTTTTTCTTTGACCATACCGCTGTTATTTTCTCAAACATAATTAGAAATTATATTATAAAGCAATGCTGTTGACAGCGATGTGGTGGATTACAACTCAGGCATTTCTATTTTTATTATAGCCGCACTTACTTTGTCGCTAATAATGGATTCGATTGATTTTTCTTGTATACGGTGAGGAAAACAGGACTATATCAAAATTTTTATTTCATATATTTCTTCCTTCCATCTCACGACATTTCCTTATTTGGAATATACGTAATTTGGTTTCATGTTCTTAGTATAATAAAGTCAATAGTCAATCGTGATCCATTTTTAAACTCGCTCTCACTGCTATTGGAAGGTTCATCTATAAAAGAAATAAAATGAACAAAGAAATTTTAACTTTCGGTATATCATTTTTTTTTAAAAATTATTAAACGAAAATTTTAATTACTGTAATTTGAAAATTAATATCATAACTTCGGGAAAATGGAATCACGTGCTAACCGGCCTTTATTTACTTGCAGCAAGTATTACAATAAAATACATTATAACAATGATTACGTAATAAGATCATGTGCTATATATATCAGTACCATCCTTATTTGTTTACTCTAGACCGTTTTTTTCTTGCAGCAGTTCGCGCTTGTTATAAACGTTTCATAACTTTCAAGAACTATGACTCATAGTGTCCTTGACGGTGAAAATAATAGAAATGAACAAGATATCAAACACGAAAATGAACCTGACGTTATGGAAGACTTGGACTCAAATACATGGGTCGCGTCAGATGAAATGCAAAATCTCCCTACCAGTATATTCAAGAAGAACATACTCCTTCCAGCAACGCGTAAAGCTATACTTCAGTCTGAACCAAGAAATAAGGAAATATCATTTGAACCCCCTATTATGGACAAAAAATTATGGACCAACATGCCAAAGTATGCGAGAGAATAGGATAAGACTCTCCGAGGCGTTGCATACAAATTCTCTTCAGCTGTTAGACCTATCGACAACACCCTTCGTATGGTCTACGCGTCAAAACCGGATTCTAGTGAAGAAGACCAGCATAATGTCTGGGTACATCTGGAACAGACGGTCCTCAATACCAGGGCTGGTATTGGATTCACTCTCATACGTTAATGAGGTACGCCGTGAGCAGGCACTCAAAGCTACTCCGGTCCGTTATGATTATTCTCCAGAATGGAAACAATTATCACCTTTAAGAAGAATTCCTATTTCAAAACGGAAATACAGCGAAAAAAATTTGCGTATATTTCAAAAGGAAATCAACAGTTTATTAGTAAATGCAATGATTCAAGGAATGGATCCGGATATCCCATGCTTTACATCCAACCTTTTTATAATCCCAAAGAAAACAGGCGATTTCAGAGCTATAATTGACTTAAGAAAATTGAACCAGTATGTAAAGTACAAGCACTTCAAATTAGAAGGATTGGATATTGTGAAATCTCTAGTCAGAAGAGGCGATTATATGACGTCGATAGATCTAAATCAAGCATTTTATCACGTACAGAGGGTTATCATAAGTTTCCGAACGCGACTTTTGGAACGCGATTGCTATACAAAAAAGGTAATGTTTATTATACAAATATGGGTTGTTTTTGTTTATTTGTCTTAAAAAACATTTCTAACTT